GAGAGAGAGAGAGAAATGGGTTTTAACGTCCACTCGACACAAACTAGGTCATTTCGGGACTAACATATGGTTTAATTTTATTTCAATAATTCGCTTGCGCGTAGGGGTCTTTAGCAGTGGGAGGAAACCGGAGGACCCGGAGAAAACCCACGAGGTTGGATGCTCGGAATGGACCATGAGGAATGTTTCGAACGTACAGCGGCGCTAGCCTACTCTTATATACAATTCCAAATGCCAAGGGATCTTTTACAGTCACACCAATGTATATGCGGGACTTCGGAATCGAGTTCATGTCAGCTACTGAAATATGTAAATGGTTCAAAAATTAAATATCGCCAATTTTCTGCTTTCGTGTACGTTAAAGATTTGACGTCACTAAACATGTAAAAGTTTACTATTAATTACAGACAGAGTCCATGATCAAACAACTGAGGCAGTCAAGAGCCAGGATGTTCGCGACTACTTTGTTTTTTTATATTTACTGATACTATCATATTTCATTATTTGTTAGCGTAGGACATTGTCATTTATATATATATTAAACATGTAATATATGTCTTATTATAGAAGTCTATAGCGTTATGTTCTTTCGTAATCATTTGTTTAGGGGGGTTGGATGGCTGAATGGTTATCACGTGCAAGCTGTATCATAAAGTCTGTCATTGAGTCTACTGGTGTGGTTTCGAATCCCCAGTTGTACGTGACAAGGAGTAGGGTCGCCTGTCCAACCTCGTGGGTTTTCTCCGGGTCCTCCGGTTCCCTCCCACTGCTAAAGACCCCTACGCTCAAGTGAATTATTGAAATAAAATTGAACCATGTGTTAGTCCCGAAATGACCTAGTTTGTGTCGAGTGGACGTTAAACCCCATTTCTCTCTCTCTCTCTCTCTCTCTCTCTTTAAGTACCTTAATTGTTCGTACCTTTCTAACCAGGGTAATTATATAACTGTAACTGTTAAATCAAACAATGGATAACTCCTACCTCTTAAAAGATTTATATAATTAGTAAATAATCATTATTATCTAATGATTGTTGTTTTGTGACATATATAGCATAACAAATATATACATTGTACTTTTATAATCAATACTAGCAGGATACCCGGCTTCGCTCGGGGGTCATAACTCTGAAACCGGAAGTGGTAGACTAACGCCACCTGGCCTATGTTACTCCAAGGTCCGAGCTACCCCTATACCCAAAATTTCAGACTCGGGGCAGACCTAGTGTAGCTGCCAACCCCGAATAGACCGGCTTCGCTCGAGGGTCATAACTCCGAAACCGGAAGGGTAGACTAACGCCACTTGGCCTATGTTACTCCCAGGTCCGAGCTACCCCTATACCCCAAATTTCAGACTCGGGGCAGACCTAGTGTAGCAGCCTACCCCGAACAGACCGGCTTCGCTCGGGGGTCATAACTCCGAAACCGAAGTGGTAGACTAACGCCACCTGGTCTATGTTACTCCCCGATCCGAGCTACTCCTATACCCCAAATTTCAGACTCGGGGCAGTCATAACTCCGAAACCGGAAGTGGTAGACTAACGCCACCTGGCCTATGTTACTCCCCGGTCCGATCTACCCCTTTACCCCAAATTTCAGACTCGGGGCAGACCTAGTGTAGCCGCCAATCCCGAACAGACAGACAGACAGACAGACAAACGACAGTCACAAATATATAGATGATACTGTGCATTAGTCGTGTTTATGTTCTTATGATTTGAATTTCTTCATGCAATATTTGTAAATCGCCAGTAGGAATAAATGTCTCTTATATAGATACGTTATGCTGGCTGTAAATTACACGGTAGGTTAGCCTTTGGGACTGATTGTAAATTCCCAGTAGGAATAAATATTTCTTATATAGATACATTATGCTGGCTGGAATTTGCACGGTAGGCTATAGCCATTGGGACTGCGCTGTATTATACGGTCTGTCATTGAGTCATCTGGCTGTGTTTTGATTCCCCGGTTGAACGTGACAATGAGTATGTCGCCTGTCCAACCTCATGGGTTTTCTCCGGGTCCTCCGGTTTCCTCCCACTACTAAAGACCCCTATGCGCAAGCGAATTATTGAAATAAAAGAAATAAACCATATGTTAGTCCCGAAATGACCTCTAAACATACTCGTACAGCGGCGCTAGTCTTCTTTTATATAGAATTCCAACCGCCAAGGGATCTTTTACGGTCACACCAATGTGTACACGGGACTTCGGAATTGCGTTCATGTCAGCTACTGAAATATGTAACTGGTTCAAAAATTGATTGAATATTCAATGAAATATCGCCAAATTTCTGGTTTCGTGCACGTTAAACATTTGACGTCACTAATAAAAATTTAATATTAATTACAGATAGAGTCCATGCTCAAACAACGGCATGCCTTTTATCACAGGCGCAATATTCGATACCACTGTACGATACTACTGCCAACGGTTAATAAATTTGACTTTCTTATAAACAGCGTGAGACGTCGATTTCTGTCCAGATGATTACCGGTATAAGGTAATTTTGACACAGAAGCAACAATATTAATTCAAAGGCTAATTATTACACACAGCAATCAACTATTTCTGTTACAGGGTCACTAAACCCATATTTTGGAAAGACGAAAACACTCATAGCTGAAATAATTTCAGTTCAAATATCATAACTGATAAAAGCACTCTTGAAATGTATCCCCTACTTATGTTTCGCTTAAAAATGAAAGGTGCCGTGTTCAATTTTCGATCCCTTTGTTCTGCTACTCCTGAAATTTGGGACTGTTGTACAATCGTTTTATGTAAAACACTACCGATAGGCCTCTCTGTAGAAGAATTTCCAAAAAAGAATTATGTTGACTTTTCGAGAAATAGGCCTATAAAAATGCTCCAAATCGTAAAAATACGACGTTTTCGATTTTCGATCTCTTTTTTCGGCTACCCCTGACCTTTCAAAAAATGACACAGTGGTTTCACAAAACAGAGTACCCATTAGCCTCTCGATTGAGAAAGTTTTTAAAAAATCATTGTCAGACTTTCCGAGAAACATGCGTCCAAAGTTGCTTAAAATCGTAAAAAACGTTACTTTTCAAAGTCAAATAACTTTTTAAATTTTTGATAGAAACATGCCGCTTTAGTACCATCCGATATACAATTGAATTGGCTATTAAACGATATAAAACTTTAACTAATCGACAAGAACACAATTGATACATCGCATTTTCCGCACAGGCACCCATTTTTCACAATTTTGTCAAAGTTTGGATACCTTTCTTGACTACTTCCGGTGGTTAGGGCATTTTCATTTATAGTTCATGGACTGGTTTGGTCCCTCGACTTCATATTCCTGAAGTTTCAGAAAAATCGTTGGAGCCGTTTTAAAAAAATAAGAACTCTACGATTTGACCAAAATGCGAAAAAAAGTGAAAAATTAAAGTCAACATTTCAGAACAAAACTTATATTGTTGGAATTGGATTGATGCCAGCTATCCAAAAATGTAACTAAAATTCCAAAATTCCCAAAAATTAAAATTTTAGAAAATTTTCAAAATTTTCCATTTTTCACCAAAAAAATAATATCGACAAAGTTTCTAATTTCCACAGTTTAGAACTGCTATCTGCTCAGAAATGTCTCCAGCTATCCAAAAATGTAAATATCTGAAGAATCGATTGAGAATTAAGAGAATGATGGCCGATTTTCGTGCACGTTAAATATTTGACGCATTTCCGCTATGCGCACAAATTTCGAAATAGCTTTAAGCAGTAGCTGCACACCCATTGAAATCAAATTTCAAACCTCTATCTCTTATAGTTGCTGAGATCTAGCTTCCCCCAATAAAAAAAAAATAATAACTAGATCTGCTAAGCAGATATTAAAGCTTTCATATTCACAGTCACTGTCACATGTCATAGAAATAATATGAACAGAAAAAAAAAAATCATTATAATGAGTAAAAATTTGGTGAAGTTAATTCGATTTTTCACTGGTAAATAATTAAATAGACAAGTGGCATAACTTGACCCGCATCCCATCAGCTATCCTGAAAAATGCTGGAAAAATTAAACAAGTAAATTGTGTTTAGTACTGGGTTAATTAAGACAGGCATATGCCTTTGCTATACAGGATGACATGAGGGAAATTTAGCTTGGGAGGTGTAGGCCTGCAGCCAAAATTTCTAGCTAGCTTAGAAACACAACTCCGCTACACGGTCTTCCATAAAAGAAAAACTATACATTTTTGGAAAGCTTATGATGCCAGGAAGACAAAATCTGGGAGTTCCAAGCAAAATGTTTGCAATTTATTGATTTAGGGCCAGATGAAATTCGTCAAAATTGTCAAATAAATGCTATTTGTGTACTAACAATTCTGAAGTTGACATAAAATTAAATAGTTGGTAAAACACCTCATGCCTTCATCCTTGGCAATGAACAGTTTATTGGACAGATTTTGATGTAAATAAAAATGCTCAAAACACAAATGTCATGGGTGAATAAAGAATTGTGGAAATCCATTAACGGTAAAAAAGAATTATCTCCCTTTCTGTCAAATGCCTGTAATTGATAGACTATCAGGTCTTGTATGAATCATAAGACCAGGTGTGGGCAAACAAGCCCAATAATTATTTTGTTTGTTGGATCTCAAGGGCCTGTTAGGGTTGGTTGTTGGATGTTTGCTCAGAAATTATCGCTTGTATGGAACATGCTAGAGTCGATTTGTAGCATATTCTAGCCAGGGGATATGTTTGACAGTAGTTGAGTGATATGCTTTTGAAATAATGGAGATCAGTAGCACTTTATAAGCATTGAACCACATGATTTTTTTCCACTAAGATAAACATTCTAAACCCACATACATGTTCCCTTTCAATTAGCCACTACAGTATTTTTACAACTGTACATGTAGCTGTGAACTACTATTTCGGATATGATTAATGGTCAAATTACAAACATACATGTAGATATAAATTAAAAAAAATAATTGTGTATCTGGGCTGAAATGAAGGGAAAGGTTAGAAAACAGGATGAACAGTTGTGAAATTATTTATTAAAGTGAAACAATCATTGAAAATCAAAATTAAACAGTTACTCTGCACATCAAATGTCATCAAAGTTAATCTTCATTATCATCATCACTGTCACTAAATGTATTAACATCAAATTCGGTCTCTTTAACAGTTTTTTTTTCATTTTCACATTGACTACACATGCACAGGTCTGTACAAGAAAGGGGGGTTGGGATGGCCTAGAGTGCCGCGCTTCGACCTCTAGCTGGTCGGTCACCTCTGGCTTGTGGCTGTGGCTTTGATCCCAGGTGTGAGCGTATGTGGCATGGAGATAGAGGCGTCTTCTCAACCTCGTGGGTTTCCTCCGGGCACTCCGGTTTCCTCTCACTGCTAAAGACCCATACGCGCAAGCGAATTATTGAAATAAAATTGAAACTGTATGTTAGTCCCAAAATGACCTAGTTTGTGTTGAGTGGACGTTAAACCCCATTTCTCTCTCTCTCTCTCTGTACAAGACAACTTTGCTGGCCATTTATGATTCTTTCTCTTATGACATCTTCACAGAATATATTGTATGTGGTTTAATATTCGACGGAGGGCTAGTCATCTTTGCTGAAAAATATAAATAAACATATACATGTACACAATTAAAACAAAATTCTGGAGCTTGGTTTACTCTCATTAATTTCGTACAACAGAGGAAAAAGACACTTACACAGGGGTTAACATCTTATTTTCATGCAGAAACCAGCTAATGAAGACAGGAAGGCATTAGCAGTACAAGGAGAGATAGAGAGGAAAATTGCGGTTTAACGTCCACTGGACAAAAACATAGTAATTTCAGGACTCACCCATGGTTCAGTTTTATTTGAATAATACCAGTGGCAAGAAGGCGGAGAATACAAATAAAAAAACCATCACAAATATTTACCTTTCTGATAACTGTCTAAGAAATTCAGTACATTAGCCACAATCCATGCGGGTGCTGTGAAATTTCTAGAGGAGGGAGCTGGAACCCATGAGCCCGTTAAATTCGCCACTGTAAATGAGCAGAGCTACATCAAACCTAATTTTGAGTCCCTCAGTGATAAATAACTTGATTCAAAATCGTATTATAGCCCCAACGACGATTTGATGAATGGAGACCGTAACGTTACGACAAAGTCTAACACTGTAAGTACCAAATAGTCATACGAGATATGTGCATCTCATCAAATTCAGCTTATACCATACCCACAATAATGTTACGGAGTCAGTGAGTTCAAGTTAGACAATACGCTGACCTTCCACTGACCATGCTTATAATATAAAATCTGTCAATGACAGCTGATTCATTGTTTAGTTTTTTATATGATATATTTAATATCAATAATATATGTATATGCATGCTTTATTTTACTTTACACGACCTCTAAAAATGCCCCAAATCGTAAAAATACGACTTTTTGGATTTCGATCTCCTTTTTTCGGCTACCCCGGACATTTTCAAAAAATGATACAATGATTTCACACAACAGGCCAGCTACTAGCCTCTCGATTGACAAGAGTTTCATCGCCCTCCATTCATTATAACCAATGTCATCGTGCCCTAAAGAATCAACAAATCAGCTTGCTTATCTCTGCTTACCCTAGGCAAAAAATGCTCATCTTTGAACTCAATCATGACATTTACCTAGTGAACGCCTACACCAAGTTTGAACATTCTAGCTTAATTAGAAGGAGAGTTCTTGTGTTCCAAAGTCCCGGCCTTCAAATTGCTTCTATTTTTCATTTTCAATTCAAAATGGTGACCATCACGTGACCGAAATCAAAATTCTGATCCGATAGATTTTTAGGCATTCCTTCCAGGATTCCGAAAATATGACGCCCGAGTTTGTAAATAAAATAGCAAAAAAGCCTTTTTGATTTTTCACGTTTAAAGATGGTGGCACTTCCGGTTCGATCGACAAACTCCATATTTTGTGTACGAATCAGTAATTACTTGTCTAGTATCGAATTTTTTTTTAGGTCATTCTGACCTATATTTCGACGATTTTTTTGAAAACTTTGATCCTTAATTTCACCAAGGGGAGATAATTTAGAAAATTTCCAAGGACATCATTGAAGTCGCATTGGCAAGATCTACTAACATTCTAAATTTCACGAAAATCGCACAACTATTAAAGAAGTTGTCAAATTGGTAATAACTTCCGGTTCGAAATGACAGCGACGAATTTTCGAAATGCCAAAATCCGAAATTGCAGATTTGAAGTAAATGTTTTAAGATACTCAAAGAAAAAAGAATTAGTAAAATAGGTCAAATAGTCACAAAGTTACAGCATTGTAGGTCAAATGCATTCCTTCGTAAAATTCGGTGATTTCGGATTCGTAAAACGTTTTGAAAATATATTTAATCAACAGCCACCACCCATTTTTGGGGGGATAGGTAAAAGTTTCAGAACGATCCTATGGTTAGATTCTGAGAAATCCGATTTGTGGACAAAACACAAAAAAAAAATAACAATAATAATCTTAACAGAAACAATAAGCTTTCATATGTAATATGAAAGCTTAACTAGATCTGCATAGCAGATATCAAAGCTTTCATATAAACTTCAAAAGGGGTTATTAGAATCTATGAATCAACAACCACTCTGACGGAAGATATTCTCTGGGCTAAAAAATCTTTTTTCTCTCAGCTAAGAGAGATACGTAGAATTAAACCGGCCCAGAGCCGACCGTGTTGATACGAAGCCGCTTATTTGACATTGACACATAACTGAAGGTGAATAGGCCTACCCGTCCAGTTAATACAATGGGCAATCTCACATCGGTCCACTAAAGAGAGGCACATGCTAGTCGCCCCCTACTTCCCCAAGACATTTAGTCCAAACCTTGACTCTCATACATATAAACCATTTGGTACTACATGTACATGTATTTCGTACTTATATCATATTAAACCCCTCGGCAGCCATGTTGAATCACACAGTATTTAACGTTCTATATCCTAACATCTTTATGAAATCAACGACAAATCTAAACTTGGGCACTCCAACCATTTTTATTTTTACATCATTCAGTTTTTTTTAAATAAGTAATTCTATCACAAATTATAGTGAAGACTGGACCACTAAACTAGTTACCCATCAGTTTTTCTTTGTGTTAATGCGTTCTACATTTTCAAAGCAATGATTCTTATAATGTGCGAGCCGCCATGACACCGGCGGATATTATAACTTCGATAGGCGAGAAACTTCAGGTAGCAGTTGGGTTTCATCAAATCATATAATTATGCGGTACGGCTTCACCTTTATTTCAATGGGAATTGGTTTATTATATGTGCAGTGCAGTTTTAGGTCAGTTTATGTGTAAATTAAGGGAGCTATACATAGGCCAGTAACCTTTTTGTAGTCATTTGACTAAAAAAAACTTGCGGAAAGGAACTCCGTAGGACAAGCCACTACTGTGGCAGGAGTAAGGCGGAAGATATCAGTAGTGGAACCATTTCTAAGTTAATCCCGAAGTGCGTTGCTATTGTAAGAATATATAAAATCGGGTTTCCGTTCCGCTTTTTTTTTGCTGTAGTTTGAGTAATGAGTTAGAGCGTATATTTTGTAGTCAAAAAATCATTGCAAATAGAAGACCTCATCCCCACCACCACCAACCTGTAATACACTACCTAGCTTGTGTATTTCCATATTCCATTTCCGAGAGATAGATAGAGAACACGCGAAATATAAAGTGATTTTTCTTACAATCAGGGACCATAATTCATGAAGTTACGATTCGATATGCGCAAATATCGAAAGGAACCATATCTTTGGGTTATAAACATGCATGTCAAGTTTCATCAAAATCTTTCACTGTGAAAAACCGGGGCTAAGTCATCTGAAATCAAACAAATTTTACAATGTAGGTAGTGAAAACAAAATGTTATGTTAAGCGTTGTTCGAGGGTGGGGTGGGTGCATAAAATTCCAAATGCAAAGGGTTATTTTTCGTGGACGCCAATATGCACACAGGATTTCGATTTTTCGTCCTACCTAAAAAACTGCACGCAAAGTTAGTTGTCGGGCCTTCGGTCAAGAACCACAGACAAAGGGAGAGAACGGGGACCTCTGTTTTGCATACCATCCAAGCGACTAGGCACTAATCCTTGTACCATGGACGAGGGGACGGGCGTTTTTCGTCCCATCGAAACGACTAGACCCAGATCCTTGCTAGGCCTTCCATACTTCACCACTGCCAACGGGGAACCACTTTGACCTCGGGTTTTCGTACCATCCAAACGACTAGACACTAATCCTTGCAAGGCCTTCCGTTCTGCAGCAAATGAGCCACGCTGGCCTCGTTTTGTCGTAACATACAAACGACTAGACAATGTTTCATAATTTAGTCATGTTCGCGTGGGTGGGTTGGCAGCAGAATTGATATGTACATGATAGTGACACGAGGAGGGGGGGGGGGGCGGGGTGTACACAAATCACACAAATCAGAGCTTTGTAATACACGCATATACTTGATATACTAAATACACAAATGGCTGAATTTCGAGACATTTCTGGCACTCTTTTATCACATAATGAGAACACTGCATTAATTTCTATATATCAATAAAATATGCCTCAGACCCATTGTTTATTTTTAAATTTGAATTAGACTCGTAACAAAATATATTTTCTGGCAACAAATAGCATATAAATAAAACTAGATTTACTTTCTGATTATTTTTTTTAAATGAAATCATTCCAGGGCTTTTATTGACATTTCAGAAAATGTAGAGTTGGTCCCATGCACTTGAGGCCAAGGTCCTTGAAGTTGTATAGCTGCACCCGGTGACCGATATTTATTCAACGGGGAATAAGTGATAATTCATATTATAACAGTAAATAATTAAAATATCCCATAGGGATTATAATAATATGTATATCATGTAGGTGTGCATGTAGGTTAAAATTGTGACCTCTGTAAATAGGCCCGTTCCTTGCATTTAGTTTTAGAGTTAGGAGTGCTAAAATTGAGAGAGCGAAATGGGGTTGATCGACCACTCGACACAAACTAGGTCATTTCGGGACTAACGTATGGTTCAATTTTATTTCAATAATTCGCTTGCGCGTAGGGGTCTAGCAGTGGGGGGAAACCGGGTGATCCTGAAAAAATACACAGGTTGTACGGGTGACCTACTCCTTGTCACGTACGGAAAGATACCCCAGCAGTCAAAATAGGTCAAAATAGGCGATTTCGGTTTCTAGTGTCGATGCATATTTACGGTCAGTTTAAAAAATTGTCTTTTAAGGATAATGTGTATAGTACCAATACCTATCACATACGGAAGAGGCGATAAAATCTCTTTGCATTTCCAATTTCAAAATTAATTAAAACCAATATTAAATTCCGAAAATCGTTTTTTTGCTAAAACTCTTTTCTTTTTAATGTGATCAAAATGGGGGTAAAGCACAGAGTCAGGGGTGGTAATGGGCGTATTGTGTCCTAATTTCATGGTTTTCGGACAATCGGTGCCGGTGTCACGGCGAAATTCCACTTTTTTCCCCTCACGGAAGCCGTAAATTGACGCAAGGAGTAGGGTCGCCTGTCCAACCTTGTGGGTTTTCTCCGGGTCCTCCGGTTTCCTTCCACTGCTAAAGACCCCTACGCGCAAGCGAATTATTGAAATAAAATTAAACCATATGTTGGTCCCGAAATGACCTAGTTTGTGTCGAGTGGACGTTAAACCCCATTTCTCTCTCTCTCTCTCTCCGTAAATTGACTTGAGGCCAGTGTCCTTTAAGTTGTACAGCGGCACCAGGTGACCGATATTTATTTAACGGGGAATAAGTGATAATTCATATTATAGCAGTAAATAATTAAAATATTTCATAGGGATTATAATAATATATCATGTCTGGGTATTTCAGGGTTAAAACCAATATTAAATTCCGAAAATCGTTTTTTTGCTAAAACTCTTTTTTTTTAATGGGATCAAAATGGGGGTAAAGCACAGAGTCCGGGGTGGTAATGGGCGTATTGTGTCCAAATTTCATGGTTTTCGGACAATCGGTGCCG